CCCCCCGCCATCTTTTTCACTTTGGGAAAACAAAGCTTTCTCCCTTTCAAAAATCTTATTAACCAGCTTTATTTCTCTGGATGGCAGGCCCCCCGAGAAAAACATTGGCCCCCCAAGAAAAAAGTTGTTAGCTACGGGGCTGCTCCAAACTTCTGTGCCCATGGCCATGCCTCAATTAAGTTAATGGCGCCTGCACTGGCTTTAAAGTACTTTGGAGTTTGGGCAGTAATTCTTCATTTGATCAGCTTGGCTTCTCGATTTACTTAACTCGCTGTTGGAAGATAATTGCATAACTCAAACACTTGAACTCCAATATGCCTGTATAGTTTCTGCTTAGCAATTATGTTGAAATTGCAGCTTTGAAAAGGCAGTTTCTACACAAATGAAAAGCAAAACTATTATAGTTGAGACATCCTTTCCTACAAGCAATGACGAGCCATTCTTTTAAAAGTAGATCTCTGAACCATTTATGAAACACTGTAAAATGTTTAGTGGTTGTTTTTCTGACGACGTTTGTCATTTGTACATTTTAATTTGCATTCCAGAAAGTTTCTTAAGCTTCTTATGTACTTATCTGTGTTGTAATCTCAGTTCCATTTTGTTGTGAAATGTCATCTTAAGGAGCTTAGCAGTGCTCTCTCTCTCTGTAATAATAGCAATAATATTTGTTAAGCACCCAAACAACCAGGCATGATACAGAGCACATAGGAAACTGGGAGACATGGAATTTAATACAGATAACAAAAACAAAATAATTAAAACCTGGAGGAAGAAAAGGAGAGTATCAGAAATAAAACTATTAACAACTTGGCCACTGGGTAGCTTAAACAGATGAATATTGAGACATAGTTAAACAACGGAAGGTAATAACTACACTGAATATCAGTTGGTAATAATTTCATAAAAACAGAAGCAATAAGGATGAAAGTTCAGAGATGAATCCGAGGAAGAAGTTTGTGTTCAACTTAATAAGCAACCCTGAACCAATGTAACAAGAAGAGTTTTTGTTTAAACATTAGGAAGAACTTCCTGACAGAGTGGTTCCTCAGTGGAACAGGCTTCCTCGGGAGGTGGTGGTGGGCTCTCCTTCTTTGGAGATTTTCAGACAGAGGCTCGATGGCCATCTGACAGCAATGCTGATTCTGTGAACTTAGGCAGATCATGAGAAGGGAGGGCAGGAAGGGTTGCCTCAGTGCTTAGTTCTTGTGGCCCTTTCTTACACGCCCAGGGAAACGCTGATCGCCACTTTGGGGTCAGGAAGCAGTTTTTCTCCAGGCCACTTTGGCTGGAGATCCTGGAGGTTTTTTTGTCATCTTCTGGGCGTGGAACAGTGGTCACTGGGGGTGTGGAGGGGGAGGTATTTGTGGATTTCCTGCATTGTGCAGGGGTTTGGACTAGATGACCCTGTAGATCCCTTCCACCTCTATGATAATAAGAAGATCAGCAGAATAACTAACACAGACTTGGCTTCCTCTCCATTTTACTTTGTACATCGTTGCTCCCCGCCACGAGGTGGGCTAGGCTGAGAGACAATGACGGGCCCCAGGTCATTTAACATAATAGTCCATGCCTGACTCTGACATTCTAACCACTATACTACACTGGGAAAGATGCCCAATTAAAAGAACTCTGAAGTGGACAAACAGGATCATATTTGCATGTCAAAATTACAAAATGGGTGGCCTGGCCAGATGTGAGAGCAATATGAAAGGCTGAAAATGGGAAACCGGAAGGTTGACTAGGAGAGAGAAAACCAGACTGAGCCACGCTGTGGCTGGAGTCAAGAAACAAACAAAATAATAATGTTTAGGGGCTGAAAATGACAGAGCTGTGTAGAATAAGTGATGTGGATTCATGAATCTTCAATGAAACGAAACATAAGTTTGCAAATTCCAGTAAGCCCTCGGATGGGAGACTTCCAAGGAATACCAGGGTCGTGACTCAGAGGCGAACCACCTCTGAACGTCTCTTACCTTGAAAACCCTACGAGGTCTCCATAAATCAGTTGTGAGCTGACCACCATCAGTGTATATTCTGCTTCCTAATAACTTATGTTACCTTCTCAAATGCATCACTTTCTGATTCATTTTAATGTGCAGTCATATGCTGTTTGCATCTTAATAATGTTTACAAAGGAGAGCAAAAGGAAGTCCTTTTACCATTTTGTCGCAGTATCCATCACCAGAGTAGCCACTGCTGCCTCTGGAATTATTGGTGAGTCCTGGCCATCATGTGGGAATTGCCAAAAATATGCCCTGTCTCTTTTACAATGCCGGATCTTGTTTTACAGTGGACCGGCAAATGAAATCCTTGGCTTCAGTTTTCGCAATCTATAGAGGTTTCAGTGGAGAAAATGGTGGAAGCAAAAACTGCTATGGTTCTGCTGGTCAGTGCACTTACATTAAGGTAAGCCGCTACTGGGTTTTTCCTTGAGCGATATATGTCTTGAGTCGGACCCTTTTCCTTGTGCCTGACTCCAGGCATGTAAAGAGAGCCTGTTGAACTTGCTAGCACAGTATCCAAGGTTTCTGTTTACATGCAGGCCAAAGTGAACTGCAGAAGGCTGGTCTTTTATTTTGCTTGGGTCTCTCTTACGTTTTCAAGGTTCCCATCGGTACTGTGGTGAAGGAGGACAGCAAAGTTGTGGCTGAACTCGACCTGCATGGCGAGGAATATGTTGCAGCCTACGGGGGCACTGGAGGGAAAGGCAATCGTTTCTTTCTGGACAATTTCAACCGAGCACCCACGACAGCTACCGAAGGAGAACCGGGTCAGAAAAGAGTTCTGCATCTGGAACTCAAGACTATGGCCCACGCAGGAATGGTGAGTGCATTTTGCTTCAGGAGGTCCAAAGAAATCAAAACTTCAAGTCAGGAAAGGGTCTCTGTCACTTCTTCTGGGAAGGCAGATTGTGTTCAGATTTGGTATATAGAGTAATCGGTTTTCTTCCCCTACTTTTTGGCTGTCGGGGATCTTGATTAGACCTATTGATTTGCAGGCGTGGATTGCCAATAATGCCCAACAGCCTAAAAATCTCATCTCGCCATTATTGACTTGAAGTGTAGGACTGTGGCAAGAGGGGATTGGTCTTCTAGACATTGGCTTGATGAACATTTTTGCAGGCTGTCGAAGCAGGGCTTTTTTCTCTAGGCCCACGTGATTCCAAAAGGTATGTATAAAAGTATGAGGGTGCTTTCTTTTTCGCAACCAATCTGTGCCATCTGATGTTTGACAGCAACTCACGAGGAAAGCAGAGTGGCGTTGCCAGGGATGGTCGCCTTTCAGATAATCCAGGTCGGCCTGTTGATTTTGAACCTCCTCGTTCCAGGTTGGATTCCCTAATGCTGGGAAGTCTTCACTGTTACGAGCCATCTCCAATGCCAAACCAGCAGTGGCGGCTTACCCGTTCACGACCTTGAATCCTCACGTGGGCATTGTCCATTACGAAAACTACGAGCAAGTTGCAGGTACGGTCTTGTAAGGCTCTGCTAATGCTGCTGGATGTTTTTGATGGAGCATGTTGGCCTTTCTTCTCGAGAGAGTATAAGCAGATGGTGTGATATCGCTAACAGAACTGATTTTTGTGCTGTGCACCCTGTAATAACATCAAGGCTCTTAGAGTGCCCACAATATAGCAGGCAACCAAGGCTGAATGGAATTTCTCCCTTTTTAAGCAATCTTAAGGCACTAATGAGGTTTATTCATTAAGGGTCAATGGCACTCATGGATAACGTATCCAGCTCATCACTTTCAGAGGCCATGAAGATAAGAAACAGTGGTCTTCAGCCCACAGGTTCCTCAAGGGAGCCGTAAGCCTCTAAAGCAGGGGCGTCAAACATATGGCCCAGGGGCCGGATCAGGCCCCCGGAGGGCTTCTGTCAGGCCCGCAGTGGAACTGGCTGTCTTCTGCTTCTTCTTCCAGTGCTGCTGCTGCTGCATCGTCATAGGTTTGCAGCTTACAGATACACACCTGAACAGCATACTCAAGATTGCAACAGCACAGACATTTTGATGCAATAATTCAGAGCAAGAGGTGTCAGTTATCAGACACTGTTAAAGAAACAAAATATTGCAAGAGTGCTAATGTTTTAAGAAGGTTTTTATTTCAAGTAAAAAAAAAAATCCTTTGCGTTTGTGCCCTTTATAAAGTTTATTATCTCCGCTACCTGGCATTACCTTTTATGACACACATGGCCTGGCCCGACAAGGTCTCATTTATGTCAGATCCGGCCCTTATCACAAATGAGTTTGACACCCCTGCTGTAAAGAGCCTCCTTGTCTTTTCCTGCATGGCTGGACCTGCTGCTAAAGTGTATGTGTAGCAATCAACGGCATAATGTTCCCCCCTTCGCTTTGCATGCATGCTGAGAGGAGCCTCAGGACAGGTGTGGTGGGAAGTTATTTCACGATAGAGAGGATTTCGGAAGCTCGGGCAGGCTCAGAGGCTGTGGCTCCTCCTCTGCTTGCCGCTTGACTGTGCTGTCCCACACTTGCAGCTCAGTGGCTCCCTGCTGCTACCTGGGGATTAAAGGCGGGTCCTAAGTCCCCACTGCCCTAGGCCAAACAGGGCCTAAGAAAGTGTACCTGGAGAGCCCACAGAGCATCTCTTGGCTTCACACAGAAGTGTAAATTAAAATGAAAGACTTCCTGCAGTTGAACAAAATAGGAGTGTATTTAACTGTGGAACGTGTACTGATAAACCAGTGACACATCCTGGTATCATTTCCGTCCAAGAGAGTTCGCAGTAAGAGAAGGAGGTATGTCTCATGGCATCCCTCCTGACTGTAGTCTAGATAGGTTCCTACTGCTCTTTTACTGACCCATTCAGATACTTGTACCCCGGTTTTCTTCCAAATCGCCTTATAGCAATGAAAGGTACAATGTCAATAAACTAACACAACAAATGGGGAAAGGCCATGGCTCAGCGGCAGAGCATCTGCTTTGCATGCAGAAGGTCCCAGGTTCCAGTCCCCAGCATTTCCAGATCAGGTAGCAGGTGATGGGAAAGACCTCATCCTGAGATCCTGGAGAGCCACTGCCAGTCTAAGTACTACTGCGTTTGATGGACCGATGGTCTGATTCAGCACAACCCAGCTTCATTGTTCAGTGTGTTCAACAAACTACCTCTTGGCTAGCTCATCTGCAGGCGCAGGCTACAAGCCAATGGGCTTGCACGAAAGGTCGTGCCTCTGGCCACATATGGGCATTGTGCCACCCACAGGAAGGAAAAGTGGCAACTCTCAGCAAAGATGACACAGCTGGCAAAGGCGTTCCTCCCCATTTTTCCCAGCCTGCATCATTGGAATGGCTACCTGTGATGAAAGCAGCGTTCCCTCTAAGCTGAGTCAGTGTGAGCTAGCTCACAGTATTTTAGCCTCCAGCTCACACATTTTTGTCTTAGCTCAGGAAGGATGGCTCCAGAGCAAACCAATTTATGCCGTAGCCAAATCGCTCGCTCACAGCTTTAATGCCAGTAGCTCACAAAGTAGAATTTTTGCTCACAAGACTCCATAGCTTAGAGGGAATATTGGATGAAAGGATGGTTTCTTCCCCCATTATTCTCTCCTCCCTCCTGTTCCGCCTGTTGCTGCCCTGTACTGGTCTACTGGGGGCCTCAGAGGCAGGTGTGTATTCCTACACGGAAGAAGACTCAGGGGAGGCCTACTCAGGCTGCAGCTCCATGGCTGAAGGGGGAGTGTCGGATATCCACTGCCTCCCCGGCACATATCGGAAGTTTTCTGTTCCGCCATGGATGTATTTTGCTTTCTGAATGTGGATATGCACACTGTAGAGCTACGATTTGTTCTAACTTTGCTTGCAGAGATATTTGGACCTTGAACAACAATTTGGAAAATTATTTTTGATCATTCTAATTTATTCCAGTAATGAAATCGGACATATCTAGTTAATGAACCGGCCTACTTCTTGTGTGTGTGTTTTATAGCACAGGTCAGAAATGTTGTGCTTTATTTATTTATTTATTTGGACTTGTATCCCGCCCTCCCCGCAAGCAAGTTCAGGGTGGGTTCCAACACTGTAAATACAATATATAATACAGTTCAAACCACTTAAAACAACAGTATGAAATAGCACATAATCCTAAAATACCGTGTAAAGTCTTATCGGATGTCTTAGCAATTAAGAGGGAATTAAGAATCCAGGCCACTGATGGGAGGCCAACTAGAGGGAGGGGATGTCCACTGCCTCAACTAAAAGCCTGGTGGAAGAGCTCTGTCTTACAGGCCCTGCGGAATTGTAATAAATCCCGCAGGGCTCTGATCTCATGTGGAAGCTCATTCCACCAGATGGGGGCCAGGGCCAAAAAGGCCCCGGCCCTATTCCAGGCAAGTCCGACGTCCCTGGAGCAGGGGTCTGCTAAAAGATGTTGTTTTATAGACTTCAGTGCTCTATGGGGCTCATATGGGGAGAGCTGGTCCCGAAGGTATGCTTTAAAGGTAAGCACCAGCGCCTTGAAACAGGTCCAGTATTCAGTAGGCAGCCAGTGCAGTTCACGCGGCACTGGGTGGATGCGAGCCCACACAGGCATCACTGTCAGCACTCATGCTGCCACATTCTGCATTAGCTGCAACTTCCAGAGCAGAGTCAAGGGCAGCCCCACATAGAGAGAGTTACAATAATCCAGTCTGGAAGTTACCATTGCATGGGTCACTGTAGCCAGGTCTTGGGGAGGGGGTGGTGAGATATGGGGCCAACTGCCCGATCCACCTCAGATGGAAAAAGGCTGACCTGGCAGTGGCGATGCCCTGGGCCTCCATAGGAAGGGAGGCATCCAGGAACACTCCCAGACTCTTCACCCTTGACGTTGGCACCAGTGGAGCCCCATCAAAGGCTGAGAGCCCGATTCCCCATCCGAGTTCTCCACGACTCAGGTGCAGGACCTCAGTCTTGGATGGATTTAGCTTCAGTCAGCTCTGTTGCAACCAACCAATTTTTCTTTATTGTGTGTATTTCAGTTATTTGTACCGCTGGGGCCTTGTGGCTGAAACGCCTTTGGTTTTAAAGATTTTTTCAAATCATTCATGATTTGTAATGCATTAAAGCTTTGTTAATTTAACATATGTAACCCATTAGTATTCTGTTGTTAGGCTGTTTTGTCAACCTTTTTTGTTACTTTATCAAGTCCGAGACTGCCAAACACTTGCATGAGGAATTATGTTCATTTGAATCTTGTTTTAAGAACATAAGAGAAGCCAATGTTGGATCAGGCCAATGGCCCATCCAGTCCAACACTCTGTGTCACACAGTGGCCAAAAATACCAGGTGCCATCAGGAGGTCCAGCAGTGGGGCCAGGACACTAGAAGCCCTCCCACTATTGACCCCCCCCCCATGCACCAAGAATACAGAGCATCACTTGCCCTGGAGTCCCTATCTAAACCTTGTGGCTAAAAGCCACCAATGGACCTCTGCTCCATATGCTTATCTAATTCCCTCTTGAAGCCATCCATGCTTGTAGCCGCTACCACCTCCTGTGGCAGTGCATTCCATGTGTTAATCTCTCTTTCCTGGCCCCTTGCCCAGTACAAAAGTTTACAAGTTCTTGTGACCCCCTTCGCACTACCGGAGTGGTCCCACTCACATTGCTGTGTTTTGTCTTCAACCTTTTTGCAGTTGCTGATATCCCTGGCTTAATAAAAGGAGCCCACAAAAACAGGGGCTTGGGCATTGCCTTCCTGAGACACATCGAACGCTGCCGCTTCCTTCTCTACGTGCTGGATCTCTCCGTGTCTGAGCCGTGGACTCAGCTCCAAGACTTAAAATACGAACTGGAGCAGTACGAGGAAGGCTTGTCAAAGAGGCCTTATGCCATCATTGGGAATAAGCTTGACCTCCCCCAGTCGAAGAACAATTTACCTCTGCTTAGGGAACGAGTACGGCACAGAGTCATCCCCCTCTCTGCTCTGACGGGGGAAAATCTAGAGGAATTGGTCTTGCATCTGAAAGAACTGTACAATGAGTATGTAAAAACCGAAGAAGTGCGGAAGCAAAAACCGCTAAAATGGTAGCTGGTGACTGCATTTAGGTGGAAGAAACAGGAAGGAACGCGTATGATTTGCAGTCTTTTGTCGGTTGAGTTCTTAACTGTAAGGTTTTCTTTCCTCTCCAAGCCTAAGGATACACAGAAAAATAAGTTGTTTCTTCTAAGTCGGAGGCAAGAGAAAACAGAATTCCTGAACCGTTCTTCCGTTGATCTGGTTTGCAGTATGCTTCACTGAACGTGGGGTTCCGGGCACAAGAAGGAAATAGCCTCATGTTACGGTTGTAACTGCAGATAAATCCTTGGGCCAACTCAGGAAACTGTGTCTCTGTTCAAACTGAGAGCCGGACTAGATGTACAGGTTTTTAAAGAATTAGGTTCACTGCAGTGGCGGGGAATGGCTCTTAAAAAGTAAAGGAGAGCCCATTTGAACTCAGAATGAGGAGGAAGGGCACACCAAACAGCTTTGGGGGGGGGAGTTATTTCCCCATTTTTGCTGCTCCTTGTGAGTATTCTATGCATGCAGAGCAGCAGGAAAAGAACCCTCCGTATGCCACCCCACTATTCCAGTGCGCAGGCTTAGCGTGGCAGGAAGGAATCCTTTTTCTCCCCCTGCGGTGGCATCCCAAGTCCAAACAGGCTCCCCCCTTTAAAAAAAAAAAAAAACATTCGCCACAACTGCTATGTGGTTGTGGGGAACCTTGGTTGGGTCCGGGGAGCACAGACCCAACTGTTTAAAAACCGGCACATCTAATTTGGCACTAAGGCTGCGGTCACACACACTCAATAATCCACTTTCAATGCACTTTCCAAGTGGGTTTTGCCAGTTCACACAGTAAAAATCCAGTCGGAAAGTGCACTGAAAGTGGATTAAAAGTGGATTATTTAGTGTGTGTGACCACAGCCTAAATTATAGAATATGAAATTTCCGCAGCTCTCCGCATTCAGTACATTCCCCTCAATGATCCAAACTTACCACGAACTCTTCCTGATATTTAATCTTCCAACGCCCACTGCTCCATTTACCCATGTGGAACTGAGTAAAATTTGTAGTAGAATAATCAATGCCTTCTACAAGCACAATAAAGAAGTGTGCCTTTAAAAAATATTGTCGAGCAAAATTGCTTCCCCCCCCCCTTACTGACTTCAATTAGAAATGTAAATGATAATTATGGTTTAGCTTTCTTCCAGGAAGCACTGGATAAAAAATGTAAAAATAAATCCTCTGAGCCCTTGAGCTCAAGTGGCGTATAAATTTAAATAAATGTTCTGTGGAGTAGGCTTTTTTTGAAAAAAATAAAAATCTGCCATTGTACCTGTGTGTGTTTGTGTGAGAGCTAACATCCTCCCTATTTTGATACGTGGGGATCCAGTTTGTGTCCTGATGCTATTTACCAAGTCCACATGAAGCCTGCTGGGTGACCTTGGGCCAGTCAAAGTTCTCTCAGAACCCTCTCAGACCCACCTCCCTCATAAGGTGCCTGTTGGGGAGAGCAAGGGAAGGCTTTCTGAGACTTTTTAAAATACAGGAAAGTGGGCTCTAAAAACCTACTGGTTGTGGTGTTCATTCACAGGAGCAAGGGGCTTGTTTCTCTTGAGGTCTTTGTGGGACATCTCTGCCCTGATGTATTCAAACTTCCCACGGGGGTGGGGGGGGGGGAGAACCCATGGTTTCTAAACATTTTCTTTCTTTTTGAAAGAGTGCTCTAAAGTTTATTAGAACTTACCTATTTGACCAGTTTGTCACACCCTTATCCATATTTCAGGAATGGAATCGGTATTTCTCAGTTTGTCACAGACGAAACAGCAGACTCTGCTCAGCCTACAGGCAAGACCACCACTTGTCTTTTTTCCCGCAAAGAACCACATGTTCCCGACATGTGCTGGTTTGACTTAAGGGTGCAACATCACTATGTTTTGATTACATCAGTTAAGCATATAGTGCCACTGTATTCACTACCACAGGGGGTGGTGGCAGCTACAAGCGTGGACGGTTTCAAGAGGGAATTGGATAAGCATATGGAGCAGAGGTCCATCAGTGGCTATTAGCCACAACGTATAGGTAGGGACTCTCAGTCTGGGGCCAGTGATGCTCTGTATTCTTGGTGCTTGGGGGTGGGGGGCAACAGCGGGAGGGCTCATGGAGCTCTGGCCCCACTGCTGGACCTCCTGAGGGCACCTGGTATTTCTGGCCACTGTGTTGGACTGGAGGGGCCATTGGCCTGATCCAACACTGGCTTCTCTTATGTTCTTATTTCATGGTCCGCAGCTTTGGCTTTTGAGCACATTTTAAAAAGTCACCGATGTGGTGAACTTTATGAACAGAACCAATAGAGCAGTGTGATATTCAGTGGCTTGGGAGCCCCCTGGGCCTCCTCTGAGCACTGTTCTCTGATATGGCACCTCTCCATTTCAGTTGCCCCGGCGGGGTTTTGTGCTGGACAGGTGGTCCCCACCAAGAATCAGCCATCGCCGGAACAGGTAGGCGGCCAGGTTCCCTGAGGTGAAGGCCTCTCGTCAGGGGTGGAAGTAAATGTGTCTCTTTAGGGTGATGGCAATTGCAAACGTGGCCCTCTGTGAGCTGCAGAGTGAGTACCGCTGCAGAAGAGGGTATCTTTTTATATTACTTCCATTAAAAGGTAAAGGGTTCCCTTACTCTAGGGAGCAGTGCTCATCTCCGTTTCCAAGCCGAAGAGCTAGCGCTGCCCACAGATTTTCCGTGGTCATCTGGCCAGCGCGACTAAATGCTGAGGCGCACGGAATGCTGTTACCTTCCCACCGAAGCGGTACCTATTTACTTGCAATTTCTTGCTTTTGAACTGCTAGGTTGGCAGGAGCTGGGGCCAGAGACGGGAGCTCACTCTGTAACACAGCACTAGGGTCTCGAATTGTCAAACTACAGACCTTCCAGTCTGCAAGTCAGCGTCATAACCTCTGAGCCACCGCGGCCTTATAATTTTTTTCATTACTTTTTGTTAAACTTAACTGGCAGGATCACACTTGATTATCCTCGGGCTGGAGCCTTCCTGTTTCACTCCCCCCCCCCCCCGGTAGCCCCTGAAATGCCACACCTGGGGTTCAGGGGATGACCAGGAACAATGCTGGGTGTGATGTGAAGGTCTGCAGTGGGGGTGGGGTTGGTGACAGTCCCCTCCTCCATTGACAGAAGTACCCTTGTGTCTGTGGAAGTAGACTAGCTCTTTTTTATATGTAGTATCTACAGCTTCTCAGGCAGATAACACCAGTTTGGTGTAGTGGTTAAGTGCGCGGACTCTAATCTGGGAGAACCGGCTTTGATTCCCCACTCCTCCACTTGCAGCTGCTGGATGACCTTGGGCAAGCCGTAGTTTTGGCAAGGCTGTTCTTGAAAAAGAGCAGTTTCGGTCAGAGCTCTCTCAGCCCACCCACCTCACAGGGTGTCTGTTGTGGGGAGGGGAAGGGAAAGGAGTTTGTAAGCCGCTCTGAGACACCTTTGGGTAGTGAAGGGCGGGGGATAAATCCAATCTCTTCTTCTTCTCCCAAGAGAGACCTGGTCCCTGCGAGACCTAATGCAGTTTCGCAGGGCCTGTAAGACGTTCCATGAGGCCTATAGATGAGGTGGCGGAGACCTATCAACCTTGACCTCCTCCAGTGCATTTCCATCTCACGTTGTTCTACTCATCTGCCCACCCCCATTATTAGTTACCACTGTGCGCAGACATGAACCAGCGATATAGAGGATATAATAATTGGCGCTATAGAGGATATAATAATTGGCACTATAGAGGTTATCATAGTTGGATCTTAATAATCATTGGTGTTATGTTAATTATTTTATTATATCATTGTAATCTGCCCTGAGCCTTGCAATGCAGGGGGGAGCGGGGTGAAAATCAAATAAGATTGCTGCTTTCTGAAGGCCAGCTGTGGCTTCTGCCCCGACAGCAGAAGCAGCATTCCTCATTTGGCAAGAGAGGGTGCAGAAGAGAGCGACGAGAATGATCAGGGGTCTGGAGACTGAGCCCTACGAGGAAAGGCTAAGGGCCTTGGGCAGGTTTAGTTCGGAGAAGAGGAGACTGAGAAGGGACGTGATTGCTCTCTTTAAATATTTGAAAGGCTGCCATTTGGAGGAGGGCAAGGAGCTGTTCCAGTTGGCACCAAGGACCTGAAGCTACGTGCAGCCAGCCAGGTGACCTTGGGCCAGTCACAGTTCTCTCAGAGCTGTTCTCTCAAGCACAGTTATCTCAGAGCTCTCTCAGCCCCACCTACCTCACAGGGTGTCTGTTGTGGGGAGAAGAAGTGAAGGAGACTGTAAGCCACTCTGAGACGTCAAATGAAGGGCAGGGTATAAATTCAACTCTCTCCCCCCCCCCCACTAACCTGATCTCATCGGATCGCAGAAGCTAAGCAGGGTCGGCCCTGGTTAGTACTTGGATGGGAGACCACCAGGGCAGTCCAGAGTTGCTATGCAGAGACAGGCAATGGCAAACCACCTCTGTTTGTCTCTTGCTTTGAATACCCTACGGAGTTACTCAGTTGCGCCTTGACAGCATTTAACACCCCCACAACAGAGGCAGGGACATTTTGACAGCAGAGGCATGACTTTGCAACCCCCTGGCCTCTTCCTTACCGATGTTCTAGCAGCTGCTGTTGAAGAAACAGTTTTGGAATTTGAAACGGGAGGGTGGGAAATTTGGGTTTTGAATTTGCTTGCAGTTTGTGACTGCCTGTGCTCTGATGCTAGTGGCCTCTTTTTTTTTGCTGTTTTCATTTTCATCTTTCCCCCATTCCTTCTCTTTTGTTGTGGGTCCTATATAAGGAGCTATATAGCTCCTATATAAGGAGCTGGGGTGGCTCAAGTGGTTAAGACGCTGAACTGCGGGCTGTGGAAAGTCAGTAGTTCAGCAGTTCGAGACCTGAGTGTGCCGCATGACAGAGTGAGCTCCCGTCTCTAGTTCCAGCTCCTGCTAACCTAGCAGTTCGAAAGCAAGAAATTGCAAGTAGATAAATAGGTACCACTTCAGTGGGAAGGTAACAGCGTTCCGTGCGCCGGCCACATGACCACAGAAATGTCTTCAGGCAGCTCTGGCTCTTCGGCTTTTAAACGGAGATGAGCACCGCAACCCTAGAGTCGGATTCGACTGGCTTTCGAGCAAGGGAACCTTTACCTTTTACCTATATAGTAGGGAAGGACTGGGATAGAAACATTTCTAATCCACAAATGAAATAAACCACCCTGCAGTGAGGCAGAATCTTCTCACAACACCCCCCCCCCAATAATTGAACTCTGAGCCAGGTTTGTGTATACTTTTGTTTCCACTGTGCTCGGAGCAAACATCGGTGATAAGATGTCCAGCGATTCACTCTCGGAGCAGTTGCTGGGGGAAGGAAAATAAAAGGATCTGTTGGTTGTATTAAGTTGGTGCCGGTGGTAACGGCTTAATCATGTCGCAAGGGTGGAAGGCTGTGTGGATCTCTTTATCCTGCCTCCTAACGGGTTTTGTTTTCGTAAATCTTCCAAATCCTTTTTTGACCACAAGGCTTTGAATGTACTCCTTAGTTACCCATTAGAATGTAAAACACTGGGTAACTAGGAAGAAACCAGGCAGTGCTCTTTGCTATTCTCTGGGTTGCTCTTCCAACAACCATACCTTTATTCTGCAAGAAAAATCTTCTTTTGTTTCCTTGCTTCCCTATCTTAATGGGGAGGGGATGACAGGGAGGGAAGGACTGATTAGCACTCCTAATTAGCATGACTGTGTGGCTGTAAAATAACCCATCGCCTTGCCTGATGGGAGGACGTACAAGATCGTCTTCCTCAGTGGAGCCGCCGCTTTGTCTTGA